CCACTCACTTGAATATCTTCAAATATCTTCACTTTTGACTTTTTATTCTTTATTTTCTTTTATTTATATCATCACAGTTCACCACTAACTGCAATCAGTTGCTTCTTCACTCTACATATTCACCTTTTCGCGCGCTCATAAGTATTATGTTTGATCATTTGTTCGCGTGGACTCCGCCGCTCTGCTGTGCGCTGCAGATCCTGCTGCGAGCTTCACTTGATTTTACGTTATTCGATTAAATTTTGTTGTTTTTTTTTAATGCGCACGTTTTTGTTGTTATTTGTTTTTCTCACATAGACAGTTAGCTCGGTTTGCATGTACATATGTATGTATGTGATACACTTGACTTGTGCTCCCTTCTTATTATTGTCTTATATTGACTGCTGTCGCCGTTTGCGTTTGCCGTTTGTCGTGAAAATTCGCAGTTAAGGTGCCAACTTACGTTTAATTAACATTACAATTTATGACGCCACATCGATCTCGATAGTATACGAATTTATGTTCGTCGCGCACATTTTTAAGGACGTCCATACAAAATAAGCACAATATAACTAAATGTTGTTGTTCTTGGCGAACGGAAAGAAATTTGTGTTCTTTTTTGCGAATAATTGGTACCGTTTAGTAAGGTAAACAGGGGCAACAGGCAAAATACCTTAATGTAGACATACATAAGTAAAAATCTAAATCACCATCTGTTCAAATTTGAACCGGACTAACAAAAAAAGTATGTAATAAACTTTATGGTTGACCAATTTTTCAAACATTTTCCTAAGCCTCGGCGAGGCCGGCCTTCATTGTCTCAGCGATTGACTTTTGATGGCTTCAAAGGACTCATCCACTTTCAGTCATTGCTTTGAAGCGAATTTTTCGGTTGCTAAAACATAAAAATGTCAAATGCAACGAAAACGGTAGCTGAGCGATGTTCATGTTTCATGTTCATCCAAAAAATCTGTCACAAGATTTTTGTAATGTGGCGGAGTAAATCCGGTCGTTTACGACAAATTGTAGATCAAGTAGATAGTAGTAGTAGTAGCCTCAAAACAGCCAAAGTATTCTTTATTGAGCGTTTGACCCCATGGAACGGCTTCATGGTGAAATACACCGCGGTAATCAAAGAAAAAGATAAGCTTCACCTTGATTTTTGACGGACTTTAACGCGGTCTTTCGATTACGTCACATTTTTGGAGCGCTATTCGCATATTATTTGACAGTTTCGACGGAATGGTCATAAATCCACGTTTCGTCAGCAATAATGATGCGTCTGACGAAAGTAGAGTCCTCAGCTACGTTGTCAAGCATCTTTTTTTGCAAAAAATTCAGGGCGTTTGGTACTAGTCTAGCATTGATGCCCTTCATACTCAAAAAATTAACCAAAACATTAATCAAAATGGTTGAGTCGAGGACAATGTTAAGATACTTTGCTGACGCCAACACGATTTTCAATATCTGTCTCTTTAACTTTTTCGATGTTAAGATCATTAAAAGAGTTGGAGGGACTACTCGCCTAAGGCAAGTTTTCGATGACTTCACGACCTACACTGAATACATAACTACACTTTTATCAATTCAGTAAGCGTGTGCAGTTTAAATGAATCATTCCGAGTCAAAATTGACCAGATGATATTTACTGATTTACATCAAAGTACCAAAAATCACTGTTTTTCAAGAAGAATTTTTAAAATATATTTTTGGAAAGAATTTTTAGCAACTTTAAAAAAATTTTTGGCAAGCGATTTTATTTTTAATTTTTTAATATAATAGTTAATATTAACACTTTTTTGACTAGATGATTTTTTCACTTCAAATATTTTTAACTCATAATAATAAATATTAAATATCAAATAAATTTTTTTTTTTTTAATTCACCACGTGATATTATGTCAGAAACACGTATTTTTTATGGCACAAAAGTTGTTTTAATAATTAAATTGTATCCATAATTATTTGAAACGGCATCAGTTCAATTTCTTTGCAAAATATTATTTTCTAACCTCACATAAAATATCACTTTTTTACTTTAAACAAATGACAAACAAATTAAAAAAAATAAGACAATATCAATTAAAAAATAGACGTCCGAACACACAACGTGGGCGAGTGTTAAAGGTTAAATGCGCCAATTGTTGCGTTCCCATAGCACTTGCGCTAAGCGTAAAGTTATTTTTACTATAGAGCAACAACAATATCAACAGTTATAAGTAAAATTTCCAATGCGTTCATTTACTTTTTGTTGGCTTGGAAGCACAGTTAATCGGTTCAAGTTAGGCTTCACTAAAAAATAAAGAAACTTCTTCACACAAATTCTTTAGAATCTAATATCTTAAGAATGCTTAAAAAATTTACTTCATTATAGGAAAACTGATAATATCAGCAAAAGCATGTATTAAAATTTTCTATAAATAATTTACAACGCAGAACGTTTCAAAATTTTTATGATTGTTAAAAAAAAATAACTCCAAGTAGTGTTTCTTAGAAACTCTCTTTAACGTGGAGTCCTAAGAAGGAGCCTCTATAATTACACTAATATTGAGAAAATAAAAAGATATTGTTTCACATACCGCTTGGGTATACATACCTTTAAAAGTAACATACTAATTATGTAATAGCTTTAGTGGTACAGTCTACTAAAGTGTAGCCCCACAGTTCAATCAACTTTATCTTTGCGACGCATTTTTCTCAAAACTACATTTTTCGATACTGCCAAATTGCTTACTAAAAGACAAATGATTCGATCATTCTAATTTTTTTGCATATTTTGTATACATTGTGATAAAAAAGTACCCGGAAATTGCAAAATAACGCAAAAAATTTAATTATTCATCAATATTTATTTTGTCGCCTTTAAAGTAATCCCTTCCAGATGTATTACACTTCTGCCAACGATTTTTCCAGTCCTCGAAACACTTTTCATAGGCATTTCAAGTGAATTTTGTTTTATTCCTTCGATCGCCTGAAAATGGGTTCCACGAAGCGACAATTTCAGTTTATGGAACAAGAAAAAATCACACGGAGCCAAATTTGATGACTACTCTGGTTGATCGATGGTATTCATTGCGTTTTTGTCTCTAAATCCGGTCTCAATCGTGGCTCGATGCGATGATGCATTATCATCGTGTAGAATCCATGAATTGTTATTCAACAATTTGGACCGTTTCAACGGATGTTTTCACTCAAACGCCTCAATACGGTCAAATAGAACTCCTCATGATACTTGATTTGTTAGCATGTCAAACTCATAAACCCATGTCCCATCGGCGGTTATAAAGCTCTGCATGAATGTGGGATCGAACTTCTCAAGATCACGCATGTCCAAAGAGACCTTTTTATAGTGCTCTTTTTGAAAAAACTTCAGCTTTATGGGGATGAGTCGAGCAAAAAGACGTTTCACACCCAAAATATCCACCAAATCATTCCAAAAAACTCGCGAAAGATGTCGAGTTCTCTTGCTAACACTTGCCTGACGATTTTCAAGCACCGAATCCTTAATTTTTTTAAATTTTGATCAGTTGAAGAGGTAGAAGGTCGTCCTGAACTCCCGACCGTCTTTGAAGGCTTTGTACCACTCATAGGCATCACCGTAGGCCTTTTCCAAAACTCGTAACGATTTCGCAAACGAAATTTGGTTAGAAATACAAAATTTGAATCAAAAAAAAAATTTTTTTTTGATAGTTTTATACATTGTAAAAGCGCAAAGCATTAATGAGGTGTACCGACTTAAGCAGCATCCTTCCAACTTAGGAAAATACATGTTTTAGAAATATCATTTACACGGTGAATTTAAATACAATTTCCGGATGCTTTTTGTCCCAATGTCCGCACTCTTTTCAAACGCCGCCATTTTGTCAACTTTTGACTTTTTCAACTTTAGGTCACTATACCGACAATATCTGCTATCAGAGCAGTTTTTTTACGTTTAACTCGTACATTTTTTTGTATTTTGTCAACTTGTATATCCTACGGACAGCCGAAAGCCTTTGATGCTAGCGCTGCGTACTTTAGTTTATTTAATAATTTGTTTATTATGTAAGCTTTAATAAAATAAAATAAAATATCCTACGGAAATCTAATAGTTCTCTTCTTATGGGACCTCGATATGTAAAATTTATAGATTCTAACTTGTTCATTTGACTGTTGGGATCATACCGGGCCATACGTTTACGCTTTGTAAATTAACAAGTGCATGAAAATATTTTTTAATAATTTAAACAAAATATTATTAAAATTAATCCTTGAGATGTCGATCTGAATAGCAGTTTTTTTAATACATATTTTTTTTTTTAAATGTTGACCAAAATAAGGATACATCGCGATACTTTATAAATAAATATATAAGCCTATTAAAAATGACTTCTTCCCTTTAAAACAGCAAACAAAATTGTTCAATTAATTATTCCTAAAACAATATTTTGAAACACCATCGCGTTTTATAATTTTTAAAAAATATTTTATGATTGATTTTGCACATGTATAATATTTTTCCTTCTTAAAAACACTTATATTCATATATCTCTTATATTAATTAATTATTTAATCGAACACACATAGATTTCACATTGAATTCATGATTTCATTTCCTTTCCGTTTCCTGCATTATAACTTTTTTATGATCAAACTGTGTCGTTTCCAAAAAAGTATTCGATCTTTTACCGAACGCGTACAAAAGTCGACTGTGCCAGATTGTCTGGCGCTGACGTATGGGAAGGCGCACACGATAGACAACTCGAACGATGCATAACCGAAATCATATTAACGACCGCCGCAAAGAAGGCACATCTTCCGGCAGCAGACGGCGGACAGCATTGTGGCAAGTGCAAAAGTGTGAAGCGGCATCCTCAGCGTCAGAAGCACATACATACATACATAATCACCTATGGTTGTATGTATAGTAAAAGCCAATGAGCAATGTGTCATCAAAGTATGTGAGAGTACTTTCCAAGCGCAAGTGAACTATATACACTCATTTGGATTCTCAAATTTAGATGTACATATGTATGTATATGGAATAGGTTGAAGAGGTGCCACAAAGTGGTATACTTTATTTATTTATTATTATTTTATAATTATGCTCATGAGTCGCTCTCGTTATATTGTGTGATATCTCTACCTCATAAATTGAGTTATGCGCTACAATTATATAGTACACACTTCGGTATACTGATCCAATAAAGTCCTTCGAAATTAGGAATATCCATAAATAGATGTCGATGTTTCACTGAAGTAATTATAAGGCTTAGAACAAAGGTTGAGTGTGTAACAAGTTTCAGAACTCTTTTAGATCGGAGAAACAAAATTTAAATTGAGAAGTGTTTCCTTCTCCTCTGCTAAGAACACAGTTAGACAGGAGCTTCTACCTATACTGTCCTCAACTACATAGGTATCGATATAACCGAGAGGACTCGAGGGCAAAATTAGAGATTAAGCCTATGGGTTCACTCAGACCTAGCAGCTATTGATACCTCCGATTGTTACCTACAATTACTAAGGCAACTTTTGCTATTCTAATTGCAATATTATCTAAGAAGTCTAGAGAATATAATACAAAGAGCTATATATAATACAAAGAGCTATATGTTCACAGCTCTTCAAAAAAAAAAAAAAAAATTTCAGAACTCTTTGGGATCGTATAATTATCTGAGAAAAACAAAATTCAAATTGCCAAGTGCTGCCTTCATCTCGGCTAAGAAACTGCTAGACAGGAGCTAATACATATACCGTAATCAATAACATATGTATCGATATGATGGCGAGAACTAGAGAGTATCCCTCTGCGTTGACTAGTAGTTACCAGCCTCCGATTGTTACCTACAATTACTAAGGCAAGTTTTGCCAATTGGATCAGGATGAGAATATATGTTTTCTGAGTTCTTCAAAGTTAAATCAATCAGGAGCTTTATTCCAATCCAATCCAAGAATGTTCCTGCCGGGTATTTCATTATATCACTTTTCTTTTTTCTCAGCTTGTTGTAGGACAGTTAGTACAAATTTATATATATTCATATATAGGCTTGTGTTCGCACGCACCACCACTTAAAATTGTACAACTACAATTGTCGTTCATAATGTCGATCACTTGATGATCGATATCGAATTGTTACGAGTCTATTGTTTAACGTGTGTCATGGCACTTCAACGCCGTTTTCAAAAGAAAAGATACACGACTGTATTTATAGTTCTCGTGGTGACTGGGCGTTAAGGTCAGCGATTAGGTTGAGTTCTACCACGCCTTCTTTTTATTTAATTCATTTATAATTTCATCAACTCTCTAACAATTGAGCTTAGTGCGCATAGTTTCATATTTATTGCCACAACTCAAGTAGATTGTTTGATTTCCGTAGGAATTCGATTAAACATTCAATTATGTCAATGTTGCGTAGATATTTCAATTATATTTTATTGGTATTTCGGACACTAAAATTTTGGAGACAATACCACACCCTTTTCATATAAAATTGTTGGATGTGAGGAAAAAAGAGCACATGGTAACCACATTCTTTTTATTTTAAGGTTACATGTTTTATTGAGAGAAAATTTGTTTATATTTTCTTTAGACTAGAATTTTAATTCAGCTTTCATTTAGCGAACAAAACCTCTAACGAGTTATAACGAATTCCTCACAAAGCTCCTACAACTCAGTACTCCATCGCTTGCTGTGTAGAATATCCCTCAGTTTGAACCTACGACTTATCTCTACAAATAATATGAGATTTCAAGTATGCAAGCAAGCAATAGCATCACTACACATCACTGATGATCTAATATTGATCTCAAGATACCAATAATATTGCCCCTTTCACATTAAGTTATTATATGTGAAGAAGAATCTATCACTTGCTAAGGGATCTCATTCAATTTTATTTCATAACTTGTAGACAATATCTCCAATGTATAATAACGATGCCATCATCAAGCTCGTATAACTATCTACTCCTTCGCTTGCTGTAAGGAATAACCCTCAGTTTGGCTACTACAGGTAAACCGCTCAAAGAATATAAGTTCTAAAGGTTTGCGTGATGCCAAAACTTCTCTATATGTAGATCACTGATGATCGCATACTGTTCGTCGGCTTTTCTGCATTTGCCATTTATTGTTTCGTGCTTCCTTGACCACTGTTCTCTCAGTTCATAATGCAATAATTTTCTCCACCACAGTATTTAACCATAAAAAGCTTATGCATAATTACACCGACAGACATACTTATATACATATGTTCTGTACATAGTGCAATTTCATGACTAAACACTTTAGAAACACAATAACCTGCTTAGCAACACAGCTGATCTGCACGTTGCTTTGTGTCCTCCGATCATATGTTGGCAGTCATCTGCCGCCACGACCAAACAGCTGCTCCCAACAACGATTAGTTGCAGAGAAAAAACTATTTGTTTTATGCCTTCCACCGCAATGGTAATAAAACAAATAAAGAACGAATTCTGACACATTTGAAGAACGTCCATGTATTTGCTTTAGTATGGGAAATATACATATGTATATGTATGTATTTTTTTTTTTTTTGAAAATAAAACCGATAAGTGTTAGCACATATGGAGTATTTGGGGAACGAATTTGCATTTCACTTTCATCTCTTCTTCTGTTGCTTCCTTTAGTACCAACCCAGGTAATAATAATATTAAAACTTTGACGATTACATTTTGTTAGTTAATTGACGACTTCTTATGGTGTACACTTCATCTTCCAATGGGAGTTCGTGGGAGTTGCTGGCTCATGTTGTTATTAAGAAAATTGTTTAAGATATTCGATTTTTTAATCTACCTACCCAGAAGTAGATAATAAGCTAGTCTCATATATCACACTTTTTAAACAGCTTGACGTTGAACAAACCAATACACTCTGATTTAAGGGGTTATAACACTTCTCCAGTATGCTGAATGACTGTGAAAGTATAACACCAGGAGATGGTTAACCCGACTTCCCAATCGACGACGATACGACGGTGAAGAACTGATAAAGAGCATGCATCAGTTCTTTGTAAATCACAAAAAGGGGACCCCAAAATCTGCGCCAATCAACGTGGTATAAGCCTCTTCAACTTCGCATATATCAAGCATACTCTATGAAAGATTAAAGCCCACTATCAACAAACAACTGACCAGATATTCACCATGCGCCAAATCATGGAAAAGACCCGTGAAAAGATGAACGACACGCACCAGCTCTTAGTCGATTTTAAAGCCGCTTTTGACAGAGTCCGTTGTGGTTTAACGTGAGTTCCTGCCTTCGAAGGCCTAATCTCACGGTGCTTTCTATTGCTAGAAGCACATAGATGAAAACAATGCGTTGATCAGCGCCCCAAAGCACGAGTGCATGCACCTGCACCATACTGCGGAGAACCAAAGCATGAAGCCGCTTTTGACAGCACGAAAAGGAACTGCTTTTATGCCGCGATGCCTGAATTTGGTATACCCAAACTTACGATATCATTGGCATAAACAACCGCGCCGTTAGTTCTGCTTTCTCCAGACAGAATAAGGAAGTGAAGCAAATGGTTCTGATAGTGAACGAGGGTAAGACGAAATAACTTCTGTCATCAAACAAACAGTCATCGCACTCGCGACTAGGCTCCCACGTCACTGTTGACCATCACTACTTCGAAGTGATGACTATCTTGGAACAGCATTAACAACAACAACACTGTCAGCCTCGAAATCCAACGCAGAATTACTCTTGCCAAAAGGTGCCACTTCAGACTGAGTGCTCAATTGAGAAGTAAAGTCCTCTCTCGACGAACAAAAACAAAACTCCATAAGTCGACGTTACGAATTTTTGACAGAAAGGTTCTACGGAAGATTTATGATTCTTTGCGCGTTGGCTACGGCGAATACCATATACGACGACGTTGACACAGTTCAGCGAATTAAAAGGCAGCGGCTACCCTGGCTAGGTCATAGCCAGCTCTAAAAGTATTCGACGCAGTACCCACCATGGAAGCAGAGGAAGAGGAATTCCTCCACTACGTTGAAAAGACCAGGTGGAGAAGGACCTGTCTTAGCTTGGAATCTGCAATTGGCGCCACATAGCAAAAAAGAGAAATGACTGGGGCGCTGTTGTTAACTCGGCTATAACCGCGTAAGCGCTGTCTACACCAGTAAAGAATAAGAAGATTTCACAATTACCTAGGTGCGGCGTCAGACATCCAGCCTAGTTACCTACATCTCTAAAAAAAAAAACTGCAACACTTGTATTGCACAAAAATAGTTCCTATTTTTCCTAAATGAGCAAAAAATTCTTCAGATTGAGGCGCGGTCTTAACCATAGTAGCGCACATCTTAACCTAAGCCAGGTTTCTTCGGTTTTCATGTGGCCTCTCCATATTTGCCTCTTGTCAATTATAAGCCCCAAATTTTTCGCGCCTTCGTTAGTAGTAACCGCCCATATAAGGGCACTTGTGGACTTCGGTCTACGCGGTAACGCTTATTTGGACTTCGGTATTAATGTTAACATTCCATTTGCGTATGAATCTCAGATCCAAGTAAGCACCGCGGTACCAGAGGAAGAACGACCGATTATGCAAGTAAGCCTTTTTCTACCATTAGTAAGGCATGGAGCCTAGCAGCCGGCCCCTGACCTACACCACTCCTTACGATTCAATTGATCTCAGACTGTAAAATTATTATCATTGTACCCCAATATCGTTGTATGAGTCAATTCTTTGTCATTATACTAAAACAGATTCGTATAAAAAAAATTCCAAAAAATATTCAAAATCGCTTTCACATATGTACATATGTACATATTTATGAATGAATAATACTACAGAAATTCCTCACAAGCGTTTCTGTATAAATAAATATATTATTTTTAACGTTTTTAAATGTAAATAGCCGCTCCAACTCTTTAAGTATACAAACATATGTACATGCATACATACATATGTATACAAACATCGGGCATATGACCAACAACTGAGCAATGCTTGACCAGCGTCGAGTTCAAAGCTCAATTATGACAATTAAAGTATTTTTATCGCTGGAAATTTGTTCAACGTAAGACGATTTTCTTTTTGGACAAATTGTTATTTACATTTTTATTTTGTACTAGCTGACGCTGCAGCCGTTGTCCTGCATGAAATTATGTGTTTTGAAATTACAAGAAAGAAAGTTAAATTTATCATTTCATTTTTTTTTTTCAATGTAACGCAGCTTGATAAACAATTTTTTTTTTAGATTTTGTTCCGGTGTACAGAAAATATGATTTTCCAACTCGTGGGCACGCCACGTATATCTGGCCGTGTGAAAAACATAGCAATTCCAAATTTATAACACACACTATGCGACTATACCTGCGTCCTGTTGATTGACATCTCAAAAGCAATTATCACTGGAAGCGGAATAAGTTTGTACTGAAATGGCAAATCGTTAATACTTTAAGGAATTCTGAGAATCAAGTACTTTGCCCCTTGTATTCGATAGCGCAGATTGCGGAACATAATAACGACAGATCCAACTGAATAATTCACGCCGACGTCTTCATTGTCAAGAAGCAAGTCTCCCGGAATTTGATTTTAAATCTTCCAGTTTAAGTCATTAACATCGGCATTTTTGGTAGCTAACATGCGTGCGTGCGTGCACTTAATGGGTCGTAGGTACGATAATTTGGCCAATGTCCGAACATTCATGATGAGTTCATCTTTCGTGAATTGATAAACGGCGGATGGAATTGATATCGAACCACCGGAAGCATCAACCGAAATTCACACATATCCAATTCTTAGCGAATATCATGTAAAATGTCTTCGGCAATAAATTTTTGTTCGTATTTCATAATTGACGCGGATTTGAAGGCTGATATGACTTTTTTGACAACCTAATATGTCGAAATAATCATCGCGAAAAGTGTGTGAACTTCATTTGCATTCGAAGTAGCTATCGCACCGTCCATCGTTTGATTCTAGTGATTATCATGTTCCAGCAATTGTAATTACTGGCTCGCTTCTCAAAAAGTTGCACACACCGTACCATTTACAGTATGCAATGTCTCAAATGATTGACCGCGATCCATAATTCCGCATGTATGTCACCGCATTCTGCGGCCTTGCCTTGCTTTGGGCTGCCATACGTTGGTGGCAAAAAGCACGACGACCGCTATAAGAGCGACCTCTTGGCAATTGATCGCTTTGTGTGAAACACACGTAAAGTTTTCACGGAATAATTTTATTAATTTTCTTTTGAATAGCCGGAATAAAAAAGCAAGCGAGCAAAATTGAACTATTCAAATAATTTACAAATCAAAATATTGAAAAAAAAACAAACAAAAATTTAAAAAAGTTTTATGGAAAAATGTTACTTTCTGGAATTATCCAATTTTCCGACTTCTCCTCAAGAAAAGTATGAGGTATTTTTATTTCTAAACCTTCCCCGATTCACAACGAACATCCTCTGAAAATTTCATCAAGATTGGCACAACCGTTCTCTTAGCGTTACTAACAAACTTTTTTTTTCGATTTTTTCTTGCCACAAAAACCATTCTTGAACCACAACGAACATTTAGAAAAAAGGATTGGCCAAATTGGTCCAGGCGTTGTTCAGCACATTGTGCGATTCATTTTTATATACATACATACATATAAGATATGTGAAAAAGTGAAAACAAAAACAAAAAAAAATATTACCAAAAGGAATAAATAAAAGATATATGTACATAATAATTGTCTATGACTAAATAAAAAATAAATTAAATAGTTTTTCTCAAACAGTTTATTGGCATAATACACCTTATTTTATATGAATAAATAATGCATATTTAATATGGATACAAACTTAATTAATAAAATAAATAAAAATTTGAAATTATAAACACAAAATCACATCGTCACAATTGCAATTCAAAAATATAATATTTAATATATTTTCAAAAAATAAACACAAAAATTGTAAACGTTTATTCGGGTGGCGTGTTGTCGTGTATCCATTCGGCAAAGTGAGCCACCGACGTGTAAACACTCGGTATGCGCAAGCCACCACAATTATCCGAGCCGAAAGACATTATGCCGATCTGTCAAAAATTGTTAAATATACAACACAAATAATTAAAAAAGTACATATACATATATATATATATATATATATATATAAGCCCACCTGTGAGTATATGCCATTTTCCTGTATAAATAGCGGCGCTCCGCCAAAGCCCTGACACACATCCTTACCCTCACCACCCGCGCACATCCACTGTCCTTCAATTGAATTGGGCGATTCCAGCGCGCCAGTCGAACCGTAATTACGCAAACAGAGATCCCAACTGGTCAGCGGCACATCCAAATGTGCCATTTCCGGTTGACGCGTGCTAGAGGTAGACATTTTGCCCCAACCGGCGATTGTGGCGCGCTTACCCACCACCAAATTGGCGCGTGACTTTTGCAGGCAAATCGGTTGAGTTGCGACTAGGTGGAGGAGTGAAGAAGTTGAGATTAATACCATAAAATTGTGTAGTAGCATGGAATATAATTTTTTCATCAGTCAAAACTCGAGCTTCGAGCTACATTTACAGAAAATTGAAATAACTTAAAAGTCATGATCTCGACTTCAACAATTTAAATAGATAAAGAACCGCAAAGAAAAGGTTTTTTATTCTTTGGATGACCGCACGAAATAGTAGTTTTCAAGCCTCAACTACTGGAAAGATCAAGCATTACATCTGACTGTTCGAGAACCTTTAATAAAACCTTTATGTAACTGCCTTCTTTTATATATTGTATATCTGTCATTAGTCATTCAGTCAGAAACAATAGTAAACATACCGTAACGATTGGAAAAATACATATGTATATGGTATCAACTGTGGGCAGAAGGCTTATAAAATCCACTACAAAACATTCGACCAATAAGTAGCATCTCATTGGCGGAGCATAATCTACGTTGATTGCCGGTTTTGTTGATCAAAACAGAATTCAAAATAATCTTTATTTATTATAAATTAAGTAATATTAACCGCTGATCCTTTGCTGATCATAAACGAATCTACAACAATGTAAGCTGCTAAGTTAGTAATAACCACAAAGAAAACAAATTGATAGCCTCAAATATTGGGGAAACACGAAATTTCATTCATTGCAAATATTGCGATTCGAACACGTTCTGATATTGACGCTATCGCTATTGGAGTTTGAAAATTTTTTGGCGCATTAAGGTGGACCAATTTTTAGAGATTACGAAATTATATTTTTCGACCAGTGAGTTGAGTCCACCTTTGTATTTCAAATCAAACTGCAACTTATTTTTTTTTTAACTTTTCTGGTTTCTCGGCAAAAAACTGCCACAAGTAATTTCCACAGGCTTCTCTTGAAGCCAATTTTACGCCATTAAGGGAGTTATGCATTGACCGAAACAAATGGTAGTTCGATGGTGCAACGTCAGAGCTATACGGCGGCTGCATCAAAACTTCCCAGCCAAGCTATCCCAATTTTTGAAAAGTCATCAAAGATGTGTGTGTGATGATTGTCCTGATGGAAGGCGAAGCCCTTTCTGTCGATCAGTTCTGGCCGTTTTTGTTCGATTGCTTTCTCAATATCATTAGTTATTGACAGAAAAATGTAGAATCAATTGTTCGGTCAGACTGCAGCAGCTCATAGTAGATGATTCCTTTCCAATTCCACCAACCACTCAGCAAAACCATTCGAGGCATCAATTCTGGCTTTGCAACCATTTTTTTAGCTTCATCACGCTTGAACCATGATCTTTTTCACACATTGTTGTCGTATTTGATCTACTTTGCCATTTGTTACCATTCGCTTCAGAAATGGTTCGATTTCATTTCGTTTCAGCAAAGAATCGCAGATGTTAATTCGGTCCATTACAATTTTCACAGACAATTCATGTTGTACCCAAACATCGAGATTATTTTTGTAGTCAGTCTTTTTCAAATGGTTCAAAGCGTTTGATGATGAATGTTGAATTCCTTACCAATATCGTGGCTGCTTATGTGACGGTCCTGGTCAATACTTTCCATAACCGACTTTTTCAAAGATAGGTCGACTAGAGCGAGGTGCATATTTCACATCGAAATTTCCAGAACAGAAGCGAGCGAACCATTGTTATGCTACACGAACTGATCATCATTGTAAACTTCACAAGTTTCATTGGTGGCTTGCGTGGCATTCTTCCCTTTTTATACAAAAATCTCAAAATATTAGGTAATATCTCCCTTCCGCCTTTTTCCTCTTTACTCAATGTTTTATTTAATAAAAAGTGTTACAGTGATCGGATTTAGCTGAAATATGCGCCGTTCCGTTCGTTAATATGTTTCCATCTATCCAAACTATCATGCATAGCGTCGTTTTGTAGGTTATGTCAAGACCTTTCAAAGATGTATAGTATTGCCAGATACGAGCTCTGTAACATTTTACACATAGCCGCGAAATTCAAAAAACAAAAAGGCGTAAAGGAGATATTTGGCAACCATATAGCGAATTTCTTCATTATTTTCATTCATTTTTGAACAGCTACAACTTTTTCAGGATATCGGTCTGAAACTATAGCACTCGTCCTCATTTGTCGAAACCGTCGATATCAGTCCACTATAGAAAATAGCTGCCATATAAACTGAACGATTACAATCACGTTTTTCCATGGAAAGTTCTGTATTTGTGTAGGGTATCATAGATTTATTTGAAACAATGTTTTTTCCCCCCAAAAAACAAAAACTCAACACGCACTTTGTTCGAGAAAGCATTCCAAACGCAGCCAAAGAATCAATAAGATCGAGACGCAACTCTATCATTATGAGCATTTTTCAATTTCAATGTTATAATGAGTTTTATGGCTTAATAACGTGAGATACGAACGTGCCCCCTATAAACTTTTGCAACTTTTGTATGTACTTAGCACATGTGAGGTCTGGTCTGGTCTGGTGCTGCCGAAAAGTACAAAAACAATAATATGAAAAATGCCCAAAGCATTCAAGTCGCACACTCGCATCATCCAATTAAATCAGGTTGTAAATCACACTTAGCGGCTTCCGGGCCACTAATTTGACATTTTTCATGCTTACACGTTGCTCGCTGGCCTGATGCCACGTCGGTTTGCAAACTGGCTGAAAGGACACATATGGTTAAGAGTAAGGCGTTGCAAACGGAGGATGTGCGCGCACCAGCGAACGCCCTTTATGACTTCGACGATTAATTCGCTTCGTTTGGCATATTATTTTTAATGTGCCAAGTAATTCAGAATATTATGACACGTTAAGGTAATGGAGTTTGTGACAGCTGCTGTCATAATTAGCGGCAGGACCGGCAATACTCAGCCAAGTTGCAAGTAGAAAACAAGTGTTTTAAAAGGTGTTGAAACCATTTGGCGAGGTATGATTTAATTTTTCAGAGTTCTGAAATTTTAATTAATCGATTTTAAAAGTTTAATATATTATATACTAGTTTGCAAGGAAATATTTCTGTATCAAACTTATATACCAGTTCTTTTGAGAATGTGACTTATTCTTCCACATTGTGTAAGGCTTTCTAAAGCACTGAAGACAAACGATTCGGTTCATTACTCAGCGATGTCTCTTAGAATTATTTTATGAAATTTTATGAATACAAACATGGCAACGCTTAATCCCATTAATACGCTTGTTATAGGCCTCGGCTAAGATGTCCTTCAATGCTCTCAAATATTTTTTTATTGAACTCACGAAGTGAATTTCCCAACTTCAAAATCAGAAAAAGTCGCTGTGAGCAAAATCTTGGTCAAAGTCAGTTACAATCGAGACGGTGCATTATCGGTTGTTTTCGACGAACTGGTTCACGTAACTATCCAAAAATGGCTAGCAGTATTTTAAGTGACCCTTTACCCTGTGAAACGAGTTCAGGTTGAACAACACCGCCATAATCAAGGAAAACGATGAGTATCACCTTTATATTTGTCCGATTTTTTGGAGGGCCTAAATTGTTGGACAGTTTCGTCGGGTCAGGACGTCATATTCTTAAACTCACGTCTCGTCATCGGTAATGATATGTGCTTGATGAATGTTGAGACAATAAAATGAGGTGTATTCTCTGCAAAACTACATATGAAATTCGCATTCCGTTTACCAGACCCCTGCAGTATCCTCCAAGAGGAGATCACAGCAATTAGAGAAAACCTTCTTGTTCTGACAATATATAAGTATAAATAGACAGGTAGCTCTGAGATATTAAAGTCTTAAAAAATATCGTCCAAGATAGTAAAGGGATGACTTGCTCTCTTGGTAAACCTAGTATCTTTCATCGCGTTCAACCTGCAATAAGTTCCAGGACAAACGTCGAACATGCCGAATTATATATGAACTCTAGTAGGAGTGTACACAGGTCACTGTCTAATTGGCAGAAATGACAATCTACTAGGAATGCCATAGAATAATTAATGTAGAATCTATCAGGAGACCATTAAACATCTTCTATGCGATTTTAAGACTCTATAAAAAAAATTCGCAACTATCGGGCGTGGGTTTCTCTACGTAGTCTCGAATGTTGCTCCTTTAAAACTTTTTGTATTGATGAACTTCATTAGAAGTACGGGGAAGTTGAGAGAAGAAACAACGGAGTGGGAGGACTTAATCCAAATGGTATAAAAATGGGCTGACTAAAGGCCTAAGCACGTCGTACGACATCCACTCTACCTAATCTAACATTTCGAGGGCTTCACGACCTTCCTCGAATGTTTTGTGTTACTCAAATACTCATATCACGAAACGCCTTCCGATGTTGCTTTTTTATGAGATATTAAATACAATCCAGAAAGAGCTGATGTCGATCTTCCATACCAGTAATGCAATTTGGGTTTGCGCTAAACCACTATCTGGGTTTCGTTAGATATGTAGAGTTAAACTTTGATCAGATGCGTTAATATTTTTAACTTTCGAGTTATTTTTTGAATAACTACTAATCCTTAAAGTTTGCCTGAGTACTATGTTAAGACAGTAATTAAACTATTCCTAAAGGAGAACGGATTAACAATATGGGTAATAATTCGGTCCTTTGTAAAACCATAGAAATGAAGAACTCCTGTGTACGAATTTATAAATCAGCAAAAGTATGCGCATCCAAGTGCTTAAGTCTTGACCTCCCAAACGCGGGATAGTCAAGAAGAAAAAGTTGAGTTGTTTCCACCTCATCTTTTTAATACAGCTTTTGCAAATGGCGTCTAGTAAGATTTCCAACCTTACAGCATGGACGACAATAAAGCCTCTAAAAAGCCCGCTGCTGGGGAGAAGCATGCCTTACTAAGGGCAAAGAAATAACTTGATAACACGGGAGCAGCGATCCGCTCTCATTCTACCCATAGGGGTTCTAGGGTGCCTTTCCTTGTTTGCTCATCAGCTTTGCAATTTCCTGCGATTCCGCCAGGGGCCCGGCACCCACACCAGTCTTATCAGAAAGATTTTCGATTCACTGTAAATGAGTTTAAGGTTAGTATCGCCACTCTGCTATCTAAGTGAATGATCACTTCTCTGAAGAGGCTGCACTCCGGAGCAACAGATCTAATGCTAACTTATGGCTACAATCACGGTTTGGAAGATACTGCAGTACCCCTCCAAGTTTTGGCCCAGAAGTTCGGTTTGGCGACTCCATTATCTAAGTGATCCGGTATCAAGTCAAAGTGTGTGAAGATATCCGAATGTTCAGTTACGTGTTCTCTTAATAACCCAGATGCTCTGAGTCTGATAGCCACTTTAACAGCCATACACCTTCCGACGATGTCTACGGGCACTATGTGCACGTGCCATGGTTGAAATGGACCTTAGTGCATCACACATGCTGATGAGCGCCGCCACTCTCAAGTTTCCGTGGAAGTGTGGCCTTTTTTAGAGCCCTCTACCTCGTAAAGATGCGATAGAACATAATGGGTTGTACAAGAGTAGATGCTGAGTTTTAAATTAGTTATGGATATTTTATAAATATTGGCTCTTGGAAAACCTATACTGTGGCCTAACGGATCAGTTGTACGTTGGTTAGTATTGAAACTGATTTATTATAGGGAGACTAAATATTAATAAACAAACACATTTCAATTTTAGTCGTTGACAAAAGCCACAAAAGCCTTTGATGACATGCAAACAACATTTAACTGTTTTGAACTTGATTCGTGCGATAATTGAAGAAATGGAACGCAAAAAATTAATAATAAATTTTATATTTTTTTCAAGTATCTGACGGACAAGCTTAATTAATCGTAAACACCGACAAAAACTCCCATTTAATGAGTCTGACAAATATGTGTACACTATATAACAAATACGTACATATGTATGTACTCGAAAACACTATAAAAGCGACACACACACATTTTAACTCATACGCGCACATTTCCTTTCATTTTTCGTAAATGCTTTATGAACTCTCACCTGAATAGTTGAGTGGCGTTTTCAGCACCAACAAAGCGATATCATGATGATACTGGCCCTGTTTATAGTCTGGATGTACGATCACATGGCTAATCGCGTGATTGACCGAGCGAGGCGCACAAAATCCAGTGCTCGCGCAATCCGGATCGTTGGACGTGTCGTATTCGCCCACACGCACGGAAGAGCTAAAGGAAAAGTCACGAGTAATATTAGAAAGAAAGAAATAAAGTGAAATAAGCATCATTAGTTGACTTACAGACGATGTCCTTCCGCTTTGGCTAAAGCGCAATGTGCGGCTGTTAAAATGACGCGTCTGGCGATGACCGAGCCTGCGCAGGGATATGCAAAAGCGCCCGTATTGATATCTGAAAATCAACAGCTTTTAAACTCTTTTTTCAAAGCTGTTTATACTTTGCTAAACTCACGTTTGAAACCAACACGCGCCACGAACGGATGCGTGCCAAGCCCGCGATAAAAGTGTCCTTGCACCAGCGACTTGCCGCACACTTGATTCTTCTCAAGCGGACTACTAGGACAACAGACATAAGGCATTTCTTCACCGCCGCCACAAAATAATGATTTATCACCGTAGTAACAGCGTTTGGCCACTTCGTAGATCATCGCCGTGCAATCGTGTAGCGGGGTACACTCTGTGCCGACTGTGCATTCGGTGCCAGCGTCATAGTAAGAACGTGGCGCATAGGAACGGCCTTGTGGCGTTGCTGATGCGCTGAGATTCACGTAAGTGTCGGGCATAACTAGTTTTTCTAATAGTGTGAATTCGATGGTTTGTATAAAAACAAGAAAGATATATTATCAATAGGTTTGGACTAATGTTGATGAGATAAATCAATGAAGATATTTTCAAGACCCTTCCAACACATTTCTTAAGTAAGCAGTGAAAACGACGAATTATAAAATATATATATTTTGGAAAACGTATCATAAGAAATGAATTAATCTCTTGGTGAATCTAGCAGCCTATTTCATGATCAACCTGCAATGGATTTGTATAATTTTTTTAGAAAGTACTCATATATCCAAATCTTATCAGCATATAAGTTAACACAAACGATACGTAACATTATCGACTAATTAAGGTCGATCGATTAGTAGCGAAATTTCAATTTGACCGAAAAAAAATTCAGTTTGTCGCAACAAATTTTGCACACTTTCAGTCTCGTTCTTGCCTTTAGTAAAAATTGCTAGCCGTTTTTTCGACCACAACTGTTTGAATTACGAATAGTCATTTCTATTTTAACACGTTTTCTACTTTGTCCTAACCTTAACTAATATTTTTCTATGAAATCGTTTCAGAACTTTTCCGATTTCCAGTTTTTCCTATAATTTGACGGCATTGCTAATTGAATATATAACCTATGTACCGTTGTTGTTTCCTTTAATAATACAGGGTTTTTCCGGAAAGTAAAGGGACTGAGTCGATTTAAAAAAAAAATGTATCGAACCAGTCATTACAATTCTTTAAAAACGAAATAGGCTCCTTCTGCGTCGACGCAGCGTTGCCAGCGCGTTTTCTAAGTATTGAAGGTGTCACCGAAGGCATGCTCCGGTATAGCCTTGAGAGCCGAGCTGCATGCTGCTTGGATCCTCTCTGTCATCTCAAAATGCTTGTCTTTCATCTTCATACTCAAAGATCCATGACTCGTCAACTGTGATTACGTTATTCAAAATTGGGAGTCACTTTCACACATGCTCAAATTTTCTTGGCACACTTCCACTCGGCGCAATTTCTGGTCGTCAGTGAGCACTTTTGGGTCCATCTTCACGCACACCTTGCGTATTTTCAAGTGCTACGTCACAATTTCATGAGCCACAGATTTTAATAAACTTAACATCTAGGCAATTAAACGAATACTTAGTCGACAGTCTGAGTTCAAAACTTTACGCATACGAGTCACATTGTCGGTGCTAGTCGAAGGGGTAAGAATGCTTGTTCATATCAAACGTCTCTGTCGCAGATTTACCGAGTTTCACGTAGAATTTAATCGTGTACCTCTGCTCTAACGAACTCTGCATTTTCGACCTGGCGACTCCTTTCGAATGAATTTGGAGTATATTTTGTGTATGAAATGCGTTTTTGCTCGACTCGTCCCGATAATAATGAATTTTGTTTTAAAGTGTACCGTAAACAGGTCTCTTTGAACATCGTTAGCTTGTCGCACAAACAAGTCAACAATCATCGGAATGGATGAAAAACAACGTCCTGAAACCAAAAAACAAAAAAAAACCACGCCAAAGCTGCTCAAACTCAAGGTGCTGTACATTGTTTTTTCGATATTCAATCAATTTGTTCCGGAAGGACAGATAGTCAATATGTAGTTTTAGTTAGTAGTTTGGCCGTATTGAGGCGTTTCGATGAGAACATCTGTCGAAAAAGGCCGGAATTGTGGAAGAATTTATTTTATTAATGGATTTTTATGTTGATAATGCATCATCACATCGAGCCACGATTTTGACCGAATTTAAAGCCAAAAGCGCAATGAGTACCAACGATCATCTACCGTATTCAATAAATTTGGCTCGGTGTGATTTTTTCTTGTTCCCCAAACTGAAAAGGCCGCTCCGTGGAACCCATTTTCAGTTGATGGAAAAGTTAAAACAAAATTCGTTTAAGGAGCTGAAGGCCATCCCAAAAAATGGTTATGAAAAGTGTTTCGAGAACTGGAATAATCGTTGGCATAAGTGTATTACATTTGGTGGGGATTACTTTGAGGTCGTCAAAGTAAATATTTATGATTAATTAAATAATTTTCGTTTTATTTACAATTTCCGGGTAATGTCACAATGTATAGCTGCCATAACAACTGACCGATCAAAATATTGTTCTTATATTTAAAACTTTTCAATTTTTATACCCTTTTATCAAATGAAGGATATTACAGCTTCGAAGTTTATGTTTTTTCTTTTTTTTTTATTTTTGATGCATTAATTTTAAAGATATTTACTAAAGTCTTCACTGATTACTTTATAAAAATATTTCCAGTAATAATTGCCTTTAGCATTACTGTCTTTTAATCGTCCTTATCAATACTAATTACACATCACAATTTCTCCAAATTATTTTTTTGAAACTTTCACTTCGTTCTTACCAAAGGTACCGACTTCACATTTTCCGGTAGCTGCGGACCAGCCTATAATAATTAAGGTAAAAACTTGCCAAGGCGATAGCAACAATTTACTACCGCCGCGATTATTATGTTGATCGAACACATCCTTCCACAACATGTTGCAGCGGTTGCAACCGAGTTAACAAATTTTCGAAAAAGTTATAAAATAAAAAAATATCCTAATTTTTTTTTTTATTAAATGTTCGAAAATTTATTTAATGTTTTCCGCAAAAAATTCTTCCTTAATTGGTTTCCACAAAATATTTCAGGTTTTTCTGCGTAAAAACGAAATTTAAATTAAATTTAAATGCGTCCAAATGCGATGACAACGCTCCGGCTACTGGTCAACGGTTGATGATAGTTATGGGCAATAATGGCTAGTATGACAAAATTTCTGTATTTTTTTAGAATAAATGGAGTAACGCACAAATCTACATACATATACACATATACATTTGTATATGTATGTAAGTATGTATGGAAAAAGCGTGTAGTAATTTGTGCTCATGCTGGTACTACTTATCTGAACATATGTATAATATGCATAGGTACATATGTATGTATATAAACTAAATATTAATACTAGTCTAATATCCCGTGTACTTTGCACAAATGAAGCGCGGTGTCAGTGATGGAGAGAGTAATGATCAGTTCGTTTTGAATGAGCAATACTTAGAGCAGTGAAATAAAAATCGTTTTTCGCTTATTCATTTGTAAATGCTGGCTTCATAAATATGTAGTCAGACTGCAAATCCCTTCAAAAAAACTTAATACAAGAATACATTTAAAATTTTATTCTAAAAGAGTACTATAACTCGCAAATACATAAAATGAACTTTCTGAGGGAAGTCTTATTGAACTATGAACATACAACAATCAGAGTTTTTGAGTAAAAGTAACCCCAAGCATGATCGGAATACTAACTGGTCACTGTCTGTAGGTAGCACACGCCCGCAGAATGAGGCTGACAGATCGAGAAGACTACAGGAATTGTTTAGAGCAGGTCAGCTGGGAGACATCCTTGTGCACTTGTCCCGTATTGGCAAGACTACTCTGTAAGCATCTGGGCAACCCCCCGTCTTGAAACTGTTGCAAGAACACACATCTTAGGAAAATTAGAGTTCAAAAAAATTAAAGATTTAACTGATCAGGTTACCATTGGCTCCTTAATATTGTAAAATATGAAAGTAAAAATGCAATTTATTTGTTTTAGAATGAATGGTGAATAATAGGGATTGGAACGGTACATGCATTTTTGTAACAGATTGTCTAAAAAAAATCGTTTTATAGAAATCCACTTTTTTGTCAAAATTCAGATTCATTGTTCAACATGGTTGCAATTGAGGATATCTCAACTCTGGATACAGCGCTCAATTGCAACCATGTTGCACAATGAATCTGAATTTTGAAAAAAATTGGTCGATTATAAAGATATACCAACTTTTTGTTATAATTTTAATGTCATCTGATCAAATTTGACCCGGTGTGAAAAAACACACCGTCAATTAATATATTTTAAATATTTTTGTTTTTATTTTTATAATATACCATCTGATCAAATTTGGCCCGAACTGAGAAATTTTTATAATATCATCTGATTAAATTGAACCCGGCCTGAAAAAAACATCGTCATTTAAAAATTAACATATTTTCTATAAATTTTTTATAGGAACATAATTTAACCCGGACTGAGAAAAACATTGTTTAATGTTTATTTAATATTTTTAAAAATGTTTTATCATATGTTTATAATACCATGATCAAATTCGACCCGGTCTGAAAAAAATCATTATTAAAAGATATTTGAAAAAAATTTTATAAAACCATTTGATCAAATTTGTCCCGGACTGAGAATTTTTATATCATCTGATTAAAATTAGCTAGGATTGAAAAAACATCGTGATTTAATCTTTTTTAAATATTTTTGATAAAATGTTTATAATATCATCTGATCAAATTTGATCCGGACCGAGAAAATATCGTCATTAAAAAAGGTGACGCCAGTTTTCGATGACTTCAAGACCTTCACTGAATGCTTTGTTACACTCAAATAATAGTGCTCCGCAGCCATGATAACATTGGAGATACAAAATACAAAAGCAATTTGTTGGATTTTTTTTTTTTTTTATTGGCAAAAATAACCATACAAACTTTTCGCGTCATAAAAAAACATACGCTAATAATTTTCTTCAAAATAGTCCCAACAATTCGCTTCCAGTGAACGTTTTCTTCAGGTTTGAGAAAAGAAAAATAGCGCTAAGGACTTGATCCTGAGAATTCCGAAAAGGCGTAAACAATTCAAAGCCTAATTTTTACAATATTATAAACATTTTGTGAAATATGACATTCATTTTTATCCACATTTGTTTTCAGAATACCAGAACTTTGGTAGCTTAGGTTGTTCTATCCCACGAACCAATTATTCGACTAATTTTATTTGCTATAAATTTCAGCCTTTGTCGCAGTCGATTAAACCGAAAAACCGTTCCCACGACAGTTGCCAAACACTGTCAACTCGGTAGAATTCTGTCGCTAAAATAACAACATAAACCTAAAAAACAACAGCTAATATAATTCTCCACCGTTGCTGAGTTGGTGAATTTAAGCGCCACGCTTTCCTGCTAGCCACATAGCCTTCCCTTCAATTATATGTTAACATGTAGAGGACATATGAAGCACCGTTATACAACATGCAATCTGTGGTACTGATAAAATCACGCCGCTCTACTTGCGTCCCCTTTCCCAACAGCGGTGGAATAGAAAGGCAGTAACGATCGTTTTAATGTGATATACACATTTCGCTGGTTATAAGCCGGTTCTATTTACATACAAACATTTTGAAAATTATATTTGCATGTTTACTATATAGTATATATTTTTTAACTTCACTCCCTTTCGTGTTTGATAGCGTGGAATTTGTTTTATTAACTGATATATGTATGTACATATGTACATACACACACTTTGGCCTCCGAATGGCGAATGGCGACAGTTTTTACTTTCATTACATTTTTCGCATTACAAAGTTTTATGTACATTTTTATATTACTTTTACCACTTTGTACTTTAATATCATTATTACTTTATTAATATATAGTAGAAATTGGTGTTGTTGCTGCTTCAGACTTGTAAGCATGCGCGTGAGTTTAATGGCATATTTTAAACATATTTAACGCACTTTTACAAAGCAACTATTGAAGTGGAAAAACCATATTTTTTATATAGATGACATTAACAACATTGTTGACAAGTAAAAGCTCACTAAATAAGCTTTCAAATTGTTGAAACGTCTCTAAAAATGTTCTAATGTCAAATTGTTATGTAATAATTGTAATATGTACTTATCTAGAAGGATATACAGCGAAATAGTATGCAAATTGCTCCGGGGTTGGTGAGGCTAAACACTTATTGAACCATCCTCATATCTTCGTATATTTTAAGATTTTAAATAAGAGTTTGAAAACTTGTTTCAGTAAACTTAACGAAATAGGATGTTAAAAAATATTCGAGTTGAAACTTACTTTTTATATCAACCATGGAAATGTTAAAAAACTGAAATCTTAACGAAAAAACAAGACCTTACAAATCTGTCTGGTAACTTACATAGAAGAAGCGACACTTGAGAATGATACAATGAACAAACTGAAATGATTTGGCTTAAGCAACCAATTTATTTTTTCGCGATGTTTTTTCTTGTCGAAAAGAAAGAAAAAGTGTGGATTGTATGAGCTGCTTTTTCGAGTCAGAAATAGGGTTATAGGCTTGAGGGATATTAAAAGAAATATTTTCTATAAACTGTGATTTTTTAGGCCGAAAAACATCAAAATTTACAACACTTTACGAAACCAATTGAAGCAAAACCCTGAAACCAACGAACACTACGTTGAACTGATCTTATTAGAAATTTCCAGAAATTACCATCGAATATGGTTACCGCAAAGTAAAATCGTTTAGCCATGCTGGAAATTCCATGTAAATCCATATGCTAAATGTTTGTAGGTATGTACATATGTACATATGTATATTTGCCATAAAGTATGCTCTTTAAATGTGGGAATTCACAAAACGAGTCGCATGAAATTGGCTGGAAAATGATGGACGTTAATAAGCAGATTAATAGCAGTATTATTGCATAATTCTGAAATGATACCTCATGTTTTCATACATTGTTGCATAAAATGTTTAGTATGTATTAGTATGTACATATATACATAAACCATCACAACAGCATAATTCTGACGATAAAGTGTAAAGCTGTTAATTTTATTTCAGCAACAATGATTTTTGGTTCAATCAACTCGCCTGGTTGGCTGGCTGTCTGTGGTCTTCACAATTGATGACCAACAAATAGCAGCTAAATCGAAATAGTTGTTTAATGTACACCCATTATTTTGATATATTTATAATTTGGAGATAATGAAAGGAGTGCAAACATATAATGAATAAATAAACCAGGCTAATTGCGAATGCGGAAGACTTTTGGCAAAAGTCACGCAATTGTCACTTTGTAAATGAATATTAACAAAATTAATCAATAGAACATTGTTTTATTTCTTATCCAAATCAAATAATAAAATACATTGCCTCAGTTAGAAATTACATTATTTCCGCAAAAAAAAAAATTTTTTTACTACTCTTTTAAACAAACAATTTATATTACATTACTATGTCACGAATTCGATAGTAAAAGTCCAATTTCCTATAAAAAAAAAATAAAAAATATTAAAATAATATTAAAAATTAAAAACTTTTTACCGTCAATTGAGCTTACCTAAACGTGCTTGTAATTGTCTGCTGCACAATTGGGTGCTGCAATTAAATTTGTTTCAATGTCCGAAAATTTCCAAAAAAAAAATACCGAAAAACACTTACTTGCAATCTAGTTCACATATACATATATACACAATCAGCACGAATTTTTTTTATTTTTATACCCTGAACAGGGTATATTAAGTTTGCCACGAAGTTTGTAACGCACTGAAGGAAATGTTGGAGACAACATGACCTAGCCAGCGTAGCCGCTGTCTTTTAATTCGCTGAACTATGTTAATGCCTTCGTATATCTCAAACAGCTCATCGTTCCATCGAATGCGATATTCGCCGTGGCCAACGCGCAAAGGACCATAAATCTTTCGCAGAACTTTTTCCTCGAAAACTCGCAACGTCGACTCATCAGTTGTTGTCATCGTCCAAGCCTCTGTGCCATGTAGCTGGACGGGAATTATGAGTGACTTGAGTGAGTTTGGTTTTTGTTAGTCGAGAGAGGACTTTGCTTCTGAATTGCCTACCCAGTCCGAAGTAGCACCTGTTAGCAATAGTTATTCTGCGTGTTATTTCGAGGCTGACATTGTTGTTTGTGTTAATACTGGTTCCAAAATAGATGAAATTGTCTACGACTTCGAAGTTATGACTGTCAACAGTGACGTGGGAGCCAAGTCGCGAGTGCGACGACTATTTGTTTGATGACTGATTAAATATTCAATCTGGAGATAGCAAAACTAACCGCGCGGGTTTTGAGGCCAATGATACCAATATCATCGGTGTACACCAGCAGCTGTACATTCTTATAGATTATTGACGCTGGTCATTAGGCTCTGCACTTCGAATAATTTTTTCCAGGAATAGATTGAAGATGTCGCACGATAGGCAGTTGCCTTGTCTGAAACCTTGTTCGGTATCGAACGGCTCCGAGAGATCCGATTCGGACTTAGCTTTTGGCCGTTTGCGTGGATACCAAATTCAGACATATCGGCATGAAGGCAGCTCGTTTTTGTGCTGTCAAAGGCAGCTTTAAAATCGACGAAGAGGTGGTGTATGTCGATCCTCTTTTCATGGGTCTTTTCCAAGATTTGGCGCATGGTGCATACATATCTGGCCAGTTGTTGATTTTCCAGGTCTAAAGCCATACTGATAAGGTTCAATCAGTTTGTTGACGGTGGGCTTTAAACTTTCATACTGTACGCTCGATAGTACCTCATATACGATGTTGAGGGGGCTTATTCCACGGTAGTTGGCGCAGATTGTGAGGTCTCCCTTTTTGTGAATTGGGCAGAGCTTACTTAAATTCCAATCGTCGGGAAAGCTTTCGTCCGATTATATGCGACAAAGAAGCTGATTCAATATCCTTATCAGTTCTAGCTCAGTCGACAATCCATCGGCTCGACGCAGCTTTGTTGATCTTCAGAGGTGTAATTGCTATTCGAATTTCTTCACGTTCGGGCAATGAAACATCATCGATTGGACCATCGGGCTCAACATCTCCTGGTGTTATGCCTCCACTGTGATTCAGCAGGTTGGAGAAGTGTTCCCTCTATAATTTCACTATTATCTGGGCATCAGCCCATCCATCATCTCAGGGGATACCACAACAGTATGCTCCGGCCTCGAAATCTGCCCCGCATCGTAGAATTCTCGAGCAGTATCCTCGGCTTTGGCAAATATACTATACCATATTCAGGTATAACGATTAGCGCGACGAGCTAAGTCAATGTAGTTATGTTCGTCTGCCTATTTTTCCGTCTGTCTCTATATACACAGAATTTCCTCAATTCTTCAGATATCGCTCTGAAATTTCGCACACATTCTTTTCTCTTCAAAAGGCTGCTCATTTGTCGGAATCGCCTACATCGGAGCACCACAGCAAATAGCTGCCATACAAACTGAACGATAGAAATAAAGTTCTTATATGGAAAACATTTTTAATTGGCCAAATATAGATCATTGTTCAAGACACGGTAACGGTATCGCCTCCGGACATATTGTTGAGATTGGATCTCTATAGTCCATATAGCCATACAATCTGATAGTTCAAAATCAAGTGCTTTATGAAATATATTTTGTTTGTGAAGGCTGTTATAGCTTTGTTGTAATTCAGTTTAAGTTTTTGCTTGTTTTTGTTATTATTGTATTATTTTTCATTAGCCCAACTGCCACTCACGCCAAAATAACAAAAGTGTTAACAAACAACAAAAAAAAAGCATTTAAATGGTCATTAAACTTTAGTTAAAGTGATATGCGGCGTTTTATGTTACCATGGATGGCGTAAGTGCCACAAAAAAGGGCAACCGGAAATAAGCGTTTAGTAAAAGTGAATATACAACAAATTAGTGTTATTATATGTATATAGAAATTATAAGATATACATACTCTGTGCCCAAAAAATAAGGTGACATTGTATTTATTTTGAAAATTCTTTATTTATTCTTCCAAATCAATTTCATCCTCCTCAAAGTAATTAACACTAGATGTAGAACATTATGCCAACGGATTTTCCAACCTTCGAATCACTGGTTGTAGTCACTGTCTGGGATGGCCTTCAGCTGCGGCTTGAATATCGTATAAAACGGTGTCCCCGGAGCGGTCTTTTGAGCTTGGTGAACAGCCAGAAGTCACACGGCGACAGATCAGGTGAATACGGTGGTTGCGGAACGATATGGGTTGAGTTTTTTGCGAAATGATCATTTAATGCACATTCTTTGCTCAACAAATTTCGACATCGCAAAAAACGAAAAACTCACTTTTAGCAGCTCACAAAACGACACGTATCTCAAACACTAATGAATATTTTCACATTTTCACATAAATGTGACTGACAGTACTACCAACCTAAAAAAAATAATTCTCCAAACCCTTAGACGCGCGCAGTTTAAATTCAAATGTCACCTTATTTTTATATTATAAATATTAGATATCAAGTTCGTTCTTAGAAGATTACTTTAAAAGTTTCATTAATCATAAAATCGTAAAACTCGTTTAGGGAATTATCTCTATACTCCAAGAGGAGAGTGAATAGGCTAGCCTTGCTGTAAAATGCTTTGAACTGACAGACTCTCTCACTCAAACTGGTTGAGGAATGCCTTGTCTCACTATCAACGGCATTAGATAATTCCACTTGCCCTCAGACCACACCAAACCGTCGTTTTTTTCTGGATGAAAAGGCAGCTCTAATCTCTTCTGGCTGCTCTTCGTCCCAAATGCGGCAATTTTGCTTGTTTACATACCCATTGAGCCAGTAATGGGCTATATCGCTGAACAAAATTTGCCTCGATAGAATCTTCTTGGAACTTTTCAAAAGTCCATAGAACGAAGCTATGTCGCTATGTCGAGAAGGTCTTGAGCGGCTTCAGTTCTTGCGCCAAGTTGTTCCATAAATCAGTCCGAGTTGCTGCCAACCTCACCTAATCGCCTCTCCAGGGTCTTCGTTCGCCTTTACAAAACGTAAATTTTCGTAATACAGTTGAACGATTCGTAAACGTTGCTCAGGAGTAAGTCTTCCAATATGAAATGTAAAACAATTCTGAACAAAAACAACATGACAGCTTAACATGACTCACGCGTGACCTGTCAAAAAAGAGCTATTGAAAAAAATACCATTACTTGGTTCACCGGTTATATGTATATATTATTAAATAAAAGACTTCTCCGAAAGAAATCACAAAAGAGCATTTTTTTACTTGCAGGAGGATATAACCCGATAATCGAAAATGTATGCTATTCGTTTTCGCTTTCTACAACTGAATAGCTAATGAATATTTTATCCGAAAATGAGTTTAAAAATAAAATGGAGTTACCGAATACAAACAAATCGAATTCAAGTAAATTTTTTCGAATGGAGTTATATAATAGGGCTCTTTCGTACGGATCTATGTTCACATATAGAATGTATGCGAAATACGCAGAAAGAAAATAATTTTAAAAGCTCAATCTTTCTCTCAACTCTCAGGCCTATGCACAAATTTCATTTTTTATCAAAACAATACGTATTATTTTTTTTATATTATTTTTTATTGAGTAAAGCAGTATAATAAATTATTTGTATATCATAAACGACAAAAACAACTGACAAAATGTTTTTTTTTTTATATATATTAACAGACCAAATAAATGTTGCTTTTTCAGATGCTATGAATTGTTTTTGCTTTTTTGGTCTCAATATTTAATAAACTACGTATGTATATATATTTAATATTATTTATATGAAATAATTAAAATAAAAAATAAATTGCAAACTAGAAAAAAAGGAAATTAATATGAATAAAACATAAACAAACAAATACTTGTACCAAAGAAATATACAATTTCACAGCGTAGTAGTCAAATTTTGTGAAAGTGAAAAACAAAAAATAAAATAATAAATTTAATTTATGTATGTATTGCTTTCATAAGCCAAAATAATCGACTATTCGAGGTTTGAATGTTTATATATTAAAAAATCTGTTTTTTTTTTTGTTTTTTAATTTATATTTAGCTATGATAGCCTCTTTTGTTTAATTGAATTAGAAAGACACAAAATCGTGTCACATAAGACTAATCATACGCATGATTTTTTCGAAAAATTGGCATTTTTTAAACAAAAGCAACAAAATGCTGCACCAAAAAATATTGAGATATTGATTGATTTATAGTTAATAGAAGCGCAAATATTTTGAGAAATAAATTTTCATAGTCCCATGCACAAACGCCATAAACTACCGCACTTCGAAAATTGTATTTTCATTAATATTTTGTAAATGTTGCAGTAAAAAAAATCCTGCCCGTTATACAGTTATTATACTACTATTTGGCATGAGACTTGATTGCAAGCCATATACGTATTATTACTAGTATTTTCACTAACTTAGCATAAACGCGTTCAACACGAAGCTTTTTCGTGTATATTTGCCAGCAATTACAATGAAAATTTTTCAGTTAGTTCTTACTACGAACTTTGCATATTTTTCTTTTGAGGTTATAACTAATGTGTGTGCCTTTTTGTATTTACATTGACAACAGAAGCTAACTGAGAAATATGCTAAATTACACACATACAATTTCGGCTAAATAAAAAAAAAATATTTTCAAACTGAGCATGTTGTATAAATATTGCATTGCCTGTAAGCCATAATTGGAAAAAGTTTTCAAAATGAAAATTTTCTATAAAATAAAACTGCATGCTACAACTGCATATATCATACATACACACATACGAAACACACACTAAATGGTGCCATATAAAATTATGCGAGTTAAATGTAAACGGAACATTAAAAATACACTACTACAATAGAAAACTTAAAAAGCGCATGTCTTCAACTAAAACAAAGATTTTGTTGTAGGCGTTAGTGCTGCAGCACAGCGTTCATCAACCGAGCGGGTCCAGTGTGTGCGCGTCTCGCTATTTACTCTAAACTTATTATGCGCTAACTAATGCTAAATGTATAAAGGCAAAGACACAATGCCTTAAAGCGCATTGCACTCGTGTACACACTGACCCGCCGGCTTGTTGGCCTAATCCTAACCGGCTTTCTGTGTTTGCTTGGCACGCTGCAGCGCTTCGAATGCCTCGCATTCCTTCTTCTCTTTGGCTTTGTTGCGGCGCTCATATTCGATGCGATGTGAAATAATGCGTTCCACAATGAGCTCAGTTGTCATGGAGTTTTGCGAGTCGATGAGCGTGAAGATGCCACGTGTCTTTGGTACAGCATAAGGATCAATTTTGCCATCTTCGAAGGCAATCGGTGTCTGACCGTGGCACACGACGTCGATTTTGAAATGATCGATCAGATCTTCGGTGACACAATAGGGTGCGCCGATAACCACCTCATTGACGTACTGTGAAGAGAAAAAATTTATATTATTATCAGGGTCGCAAATAATGCAAAGAATTATTCCAAAAAAAAAAAAAAAACAAAGTTTTTAAGTTTATATTCTCAAATACCGGATTGAAAAAAAATATATAATTTTTAATCTCACATACATTTAATTGGTTTAATTAAATTCCGGAAACAATAAAAAAAGTCCGAAAATCTTAAAAAACTTGTTTAAAAAATTTTTTTTTCAATCCCGAAAATAATTGTTTCAAAATTTTTAAATTTTGATTTAAAAAACCGGATTGAAAAAAATTATTTCTTATCTTATAAATAAAAATTTAAAAACTTATTTCTTTTATAATTATAATTTTGCGTTCTTTTTGATTATCTTTTGAAGATGATTTTCCAATCCTAACCTTTTTTAATAATGCTATGTTTTTATTTTGATAAAAAATAATTTATTGGCAAACAATAAAATAAATTATTGCTTTCCAAATTTTTATCCAAAGTGTTTGGGTTTAAATATTGAAAAAATATAAAATTTTTATTTTCTCGAAATTGCAATTAAAAATTCAAAATTGAATAGAGTTAAGTTTAACTCAAAATTGAATTTTTGATTTCAAAATCGAAAATAAAAATTGAAAACTTAATTTTTGATTTAAAAATCGGAAATAAAAGTTGGAAATTTAATTTAAATCCAAAATCGGAAATAAAAATTGGAAATTTATTTTTAATTTAAAATTTTTTAAGTCAAAAAATAGCAATATTGTAAAAAAAATGTTTATAAATTTCACACCGCCTCACTTTTCCAACTTACCTTACACGCCAGCACACTGAGCACGCGTTCATGCAAATTCATAATGGGATAATTGCTACCCTTATACGAATTCACAACGGGATCCGTATGCAGGCCAACAATCAAATAATCACCCAACTCTTTGGCCTTCTCCAAGAAATCTAAATGGCCCACGTGAAAGAGATCGAAGGCGCCAGCCACATACACCTGTTCAAATAGACAAAAGAGAATTTTATCAGAACTTTTTTCTCTATTTTATTGGATATACAGTTGAACTTCCCTAACTCAAACTTCTGTAACACGAAGTACTCCCTAACTCGAACTCTTGAATTGTCAATGGAAGCTAAATTTAATACAAATTTCCTACCACAACTCCAAGTCTCTCTAACTCGCATTTTTTTCTGTGGATTATGCTGATTCGAGTTAGGTAAGGAAGTTCAACTGTATAACTGTATTTATAAAATATATAATTTTTAATAAATGCATTTCAATTAGCACCCGCTTATACTTACAATTTTGTCATTCGGCTTTGGTGGTTTGCCATCGCTGAACTGTATGATCTTCTGTGTTGTTGGCAAAAATTGACTGCAGCCGGTCCACGGACTTTTCGCTGATGAGTCTTGTCCCATATTAGATGAACCTGATGATAATTTCATTTTTTGTACTTTTTTAGTTAAGTCTGTTGTTTTTTTTTTTTTTTATTAATTTATATGCACAAAATTTGTAATGAATGCACAAAATTTCATAAATTTCAATTTGACGTTCAATTTCAATTGCGGTTGTTTTTTTTAGTACAGAGAGCACATAGCGTTGATAGTTGATAGCGGTTTTAAAGAGAGTGAAAGAGAGCGATACGCATGGAATGAATTAGGAGTACCATGCAATTGGTATTGCATATTTTTAGGCGTTTTGTTATTGTTTATTACAACGTTAATTTACAAGTGTTTAACAAATTTTTAGTGCAATAGCAGTTACGGTTTTAGTAATTAGCAAGTTTACGAGTGATTTGATTGATTTTTTCGATAGCATTGTCATTTCAGTTAGATTTTTAGTTTTTTTTGTTTTGCAAATTTCGTTTGACATGTACATAGAAATAAAAGAAAAAAGAGAAAAGAGGATAAACAAAATGGACGAACGAAAGAAACAAACATGCGAGAGAGAACTTGTGAAAATTTTGAAAATTGTTACGCTAATATCAAATTTTATAAATAATAAATAATGATGTCAATACATGTATGTAAGTTTGTTGTTGTGTTCTGTTTAAACGATTAGTTTCGGTAATCAATGTGTATTATTCAATTTTTTGAAGTTAAGAACGTTTTATAAAATATATGAAAATTATTAAATATGGTTGTGTGACTTTCGTTACTTTTAAACTTTAAATTAATTTTGACCTATTATACTACTATATAAACACAAAAATAAAGCAAGCACGAGGCAATAAATATATAAAAATATATATTCATAAAAAATTGTTGTAGTAAATATAAAGCAATTTTATATAATAATAATGATATACGATTTTTTCGACAAGAAAGTAAAAACGTTTATCAACATACGCTTACAAATTCAAAAATATATCTTACTTTAATTTCAAAGAAAAAAAAACTCAATTTATCGTTATACAAATATGAACGTATGTGTATATATTAGAAGCCCCATGATATTAGCACTAATGATATTAATAACTAATAATTTGGGTTGCAAAACTAAAACAACTGTTACCTTCTTTCTCTATAGCATATTCGGCAGAGCCTTGATGGAAGTGATTGCGTGTCAATAATAACATACGTCCGACTAAATCCGTCGTTGAAACACCGGCAGTGCGACGTACTTCTCTGTAAGAAGCAAGGAAAATGCGAATATTTAATAGCAATTCAAATTGAAAATCAATATTTCAATTAAGTATGTACATACTTGTAGCGGTTGGCTGACTTCACAAGATGGTATGTGTCCACGCCTTCTGCGGTCATAGTGATGTCATCTGTAAACACGAAAAATAATTAAAAATTTCAGTTTTTTTCAATTTCTTGCTTTTTCTTATTTGCCATGTTCGGACATGTTAGACATGCACTCACCGCCATGCACACAGAAATCACAATTGTATTCGTCGAGCACTTCGAGTGTTGTCACATAGGGCGCACCGAGCACCACCTCATCCACCCACTTGATGCCCTTGACCATTTTGACGCGTTCCTCCTCCGTAAATACGGGTGGTCCTTTATGTTTTGTGATCTCCTCATCAGTGTGTATGCCCACGATGACTTTATCGCCAAGCGCTTTGGCTTGTCGTAGGGAATTGGCATGGCCAAAATGCACCATATCATAGCTGCAAGAGAAGAAGAAGACGGTTGAATTCATTAGTAGACATTCCAGTATGTATAAAACCAGCAGATATAAAACGCATTATGACATAACGATTAAGTTAATTTGAATATCACGTCGGTTTAGCTGCCATAACACAAACATGCATACATTTGGGGTATTCTATTGCTCTTGCCACATTGCACCATTGTACGGTGCAAGAATTGCAAATTTTACCACCCATTATAAAGGCACAACAACAAACACCAGAAAAATATTTGCAAGGGCTGTAAAATATGTCAGACCAAAACTCATGCTTATTTGCGTGCAATTTCACGCAAAAATATAATTGCAACCCTGTTTAGCTGTCATAGTCATTTACAATAAATTGACCGAATCAGCCGTTCCGCAATGGGTGCTCTCGTGCCTTTCGGTATAGGATTTTTGCAATCTGCAATCTTACAAGAGCAAGAGAGTCCCCCTATTGTTTATTAATTATAGGTTACGTCTACCACCATTTAATCTTTATCGAACACGTCACATCCATTATGATAAAATAAAAAGTGTTTTAAAACGAAAACCTTCCTGTAAACAATTACTGAGTGTTTGATTGCTAAGCAATACAAAGATACGGGTATATTATATATACATATCTGCACAAAAAAATCAAACACTTTTTAAAGTTAACGCAAAGATTTGCAGCTCAAACGCGGAGTTCCTCGAAAAATTTCTGCTTAATCGAGCTAAAATCGTAAACTTTGGCAAGTTGACTTCTTGCGTGTAGATAAGGAATCACTACTTCAAAACAAAAAACCACACAAAGTCAACTAAATAACAACCAACAAGCTTTCTCTGAGTCAGGAAATTTTTCACGATAAATTGTACATTATCATTCAATGTTGACTTTTTAATTAGCAACGCAAGATAAATATAATATATGAAACATGTTCCCGCTGAAAAGTAAATAAGTTAGAAATCACTTAATACTACTTTGGATAAATTAAACTAAATTTAAGCTTAAATGAATGATAATTAATGTATTTTTTACTAGTTTTCAACTAGCGCATGACTATTTAGCAGTAATGACTGCTTAACTATACCGCCAATATCCTAATTTTCTTTGCATCATAATGCCACTAACTTTAGAAATGTATTCAAGGATTCTTTTTAAACAGCAATCTTATTTTAAACAGATTAAACGTTATTTTCCTCAAGACGTAAAAACTTTTTCAAAATAAAAAAATACTACATAAATCAAAACAACTTTGACAGCTAGGCAACAGCTGTTAAAGCAGTGAAAAAATCGTGTAGATACATCGTGCAACACCTGCTCACAAGTTCTTATATTGCAATTAAATATTTTTTTTGTTATACTTTTTTTTTGTTAAGTTTACTTAGCGCAAATCACGCTTTTTGTAATGCAATTATGCAAAAGCTTATTCATGAAACGAAAATGGCAATAAAGCGTTATCAACCGACTTTGCAACTAACCGACGCCTAGTGCGGATGTGCACTTGCAGATAACCCAATTGGAACTAGCTAATAACAATGTGGGAATGGTTGTATTATAAAAATTAATTTAATACAATTAATTAATGCAATAGGATACTTTTAATTTCAACATTTCCTGATAAGTGACACAGGTGTGTTCGCACACAACAAAAGTTCTAAAAAATATATTTGAAGTTAAAAAATCGTATTTTTAATCAAAATGATATTGAAGTAGTATCATTTTTTGTAATATTAATATTTGTTATAATTATAGATGCTATAGTTTTCAAAGTAATTTACTTCTATTTATTTATTTGAAATAAAACCTCAAATTTTTTATTAAAAACGTATATACACAGAGTAGATGCTATAATTTTGAAATTAATTTATTTCTATTTGTTCATCTTTTTTTACTATTATAACTATAGCTAGCTAAAATAAGTACTGTGGCGAATTCAGGGTTAACCGCCTCACTTAATGAAATATTTGTCATTGCAGTTAATGAACTTCGAATGAATGAATTTTATGATAATTGCTTATGTTAACAAAAAGAGCCAAAACTTTAAATAAAGTAAAAATAGCAACAACAAAAACCAATAATAAACAGTGCAGCTAATATGCATACATACGCATATTTCACTTTGCAGTACTTCTAGCAAAAAATCACGGAATAAATTTGCCGCCAAATGTCGAGGTAAACAGCACACTCTACTATCAACACATTCCTGCATATACATATGAATACATTGGTACGTGTGCACATCACATCAAACACACATGCATACACACGTAGTTTCCCCTCCTGACAAGTCATAATCAAACTCATCGTTCCATCATGCCAATCTCTTGGTCAGTGGGCCGTTTCATGCCACCACATCACGCCGCGCACCCCGCAAACAAAATATTTCAGCCGACTCAGCTGTTGATACGATTGTACTTTGTACCCGATCATATGTTGCAGTTAACGAGTTTTTCAATGTCTATTTTGTTGTTTTGCCGCATTCACATTGATGGGTGTGTGCGAATTCACACAAGTGAAAGACCGACCACCAGACAAATTATGGAAAAAATGCGATGATAAAACAAAACAATGCGCATGGATGTGTGATTTACAGGTAAATATGTACATACATATGTATGTAAGAACGTATCAGCACAAGTTACGTTTTCATCGCTTGTTTTAAATCATTCGGTTGGTGGTGTGTTTAACGAATTGTTGGCGTAGCTATTTTTTCGAAATAATTTTAAGTATACAAATGCATGTTTATTTTAAAAATATATATCGTTCTTTCTCTGCGAAGTGTCTAAAGAAAATAAATTTTTAAATCGTATGTACAGATGACGTGTTTTCAGTGAATGTAACAAATATTTTTAGCTTCAAAAGTATGATGTATTTTTCAAATTATTATAATTGTATGTATGTTTTTATGTTTTTTTATGTTTTTATAACATTTTAAACAAAGTAACAGTAATTTAAAAAAAATTATATGTACTATATATAAATTCTTTTTTTATTTTACACAATATATGTATGTACATATATAAAAATCGATTTTTTTTTAATATTTGAAATAATAATAATAAATAATTTAGGGTTGATCTTATACTTCAATATGACGCTTTAATTCAATTAAATCAAATATATTTGTAAATATCAAAAAAATGAGGTGTTTGCAAATTTTACATACATATGTATGTACATGTTACATATTTGAGATCGGCTTCCAAAATTTTGAATTTTTTTTTCGTTATTATTGTTTCTATACAATTTCTATCTGCAATATTTCAATTGAAACATTTTTTTTCTACACTTTTATTTAGTTTTTTTTTTAATGTGGCAAGACCTTTTTCGACTCATCTTCCGTTTACATCGTATCTGTGTGTATTTGTGTGTGTTTTTTGGAGTAAAAATTTTGCTGACAAAAATAATTTTTGACTTTTTAATGCTTTCGGTTTTAGATTAACAAAATGGAAGCCGGTAGTACTATCATACGTCAAAAGTAAATGAAAGCAGCGCCAACGCCATTGTCAGTCAGATAGACGGCAAATGCTCAAGTCACCAAATGACTACTGTATAATTAAATTTTGTATTTGTGAATTAAACAAATACAAACGCACATACATATATAATATTATTGATTAACGATATCAGACGTCGCAGTGTTTTATCGTCATAGCTCGAATTTTTTGCTTACTCTAACAATGAAATATCATTTGGAACTTTGATAGTCAATTCATTTGTCAAATTGTGACAGCCGGCATAAATTTTTTCGCAGAATATGTGGCTTCTATCATCATATGAATGTATGGATATTAAATTTCGAGGGCGTGAGCACTTACCGGAAAACTACCAAATGGTATTTAAGAACAGTATTTTTCCAGTGAGTTCCAGATATTAAGAAAAACAAAGGATTCAGAAACCAAATAAAAGGAGATGAAAATACACATGCCACACGTGTCATTGCCATTTCATAATTTTGTAAAAAAAAATTTGCCACTTCTCTTTCTGGAGCGCTTGGTAAACGTTGTTATGTATTTATTAACCGCATTTATTTTTTAATATTTGAAAAGCTGTTAAAACATCTGAAAGTATTACGCCAATGTATTTCTAGCAAACAAAAAATCACAATAATTGGCAGAGATCTAAATAAATATACCATAAATTTCAATATGTTAAATAGGCGTTTATTTGTTGATATTCATATTTTGTTTGTTCGCAGACATTACAGCTTTTTTTCTATTCACTTCTAACACGCAAAACAAATGAATATTAAGAACACTGCCACAGCCTGCGCGTAATTAGGCTTTTAACAATCACTTGTATACGTTTTACTAAAAATAATGAAATTTCAACATTTAAGCCTAAAGTACAAAACCAAATAACTTTTGAATGTTGAATGAAATTGAAAGTGTATTATAAAAAAAAATCGTTTTAAATATAGTTTTTATTTAGGTGATTTATTTTGGAAATTTTTGAATTCACATGATCTGTAACCCATGTCCGAAAAAAATATTCGGTCAGAATTTTATTTTCTGAGAAAATGAAGACGTCCAAAAAAAACAATTTTTTTTTTTAAATTTACACTTAAAAAAAATCTACATTTTTATCAAAAATGAATACTTACTTGCTAAATATATCTAAGAAGATCGTAAGAAAAAAGATAAACAACATTTCGAAACTTTCATTAGCGATTACTACAAAAATTTGCTAGTTTACTAGTCAGACGTGTGATATTGTTACAATATCAAATAGATTAGATAAACAATTTTTTATGAACACTGATATGTTTGAAGAACATATAAGCACTTTTCTAATCACTACTGTTTTGACAATGAAAAAATTATTCGCAATAAATTTATTACCAAAAAATTATAAATATTAAAACTTGAAATTTTAATTTTTAATCCAGAAATCAGATTTAAAGCCATTACTTTAGATATATTGAATATAATGGCGAACTTTAGTTCCAAGTCGTAGATCATAAAGTATAAAGTGCGAAAAAAAAACAATTTTTTTATTATAAACTTGGTATG